CTCTGGGGCTGTGGGAACAAAAGGACAAAAATAAAACAATGTTAAACACCAATGATTTTTCAATAAAGTTCGGGGCAGCATGGATAGAGCAGAAAATCATTCCAAAAGGAAATTAACTGATATAATTTTTCAACTAATGGAGAAATTTTTATCTAGAAATAACCTATAATAATTATTGCATAAATTCAGTCAATCCATTCAGTTTTTTGAAAGCTAAACCCAGAGATTTAAGATGTAACATAAGAAATCAGACACATCAGCTCCACTTTTAACAATAAAACTCACAAATTAGAATTTTGTGCTTGTGCAAGTACTGGTATTTAATAGGGGATACTATGAATGCATGTTGCCATGACAACAAATAAATGGACACTTACCTTCTCTGACCCTCGGAGCATGCAGCTGGTTGCCATGGAGATCAGTGTGTGGCAACTCATGCCAGTTTGTGTAGCAAAATCTGGCAGAAGGGAGCTAAAATTTGAAGTCATACATCAAACTTCACTTTCACATACAGTAAATTAAAACTGATTATAAACATGGTATACTGATACTTTAAGAAAATATGACAAACCAAAACCAACACAGTTCAAGCCCACTCTACAGTCAGGTTTAATTTGCCAAATAGCTGTAATATGTAAGCAAAATTAATAATTTCAATTAAAATGACTTTTAAAAATCCACTACTTCAGCCAAAATAAGTAATTTTCAGTAATAAGAGAGACTTTAAGAATAACATATAGTTTCTGCCTGGACTGTGGACTTCAAAGGAATTAAGATGTTTTTGCATATAGACATTGGTGATTCAAATATCACAGCTACTGGGGTTTCTATAATTAAGATTTTCCAAACTAGTTTCTCTTCATTTAATATTCATTTATTTAATATTACCTTGGGTAAAGGCTTTCCTAATTTATTTCTCTTCAGTTGTTCCTCGTAAGCACTGATCAAAACCAGAGGAACATTGGTGCCGCTGATATCAGAGGATGGGCGAGACGAGCCAGAATTCCTCGTGGCATCGGTGAATTCTGATGAACTTGAAACAAGGAAAGAAATTAATAAATTCCTCATTCATCCTTCAATACAATCTAAGTATATCTGTGAAACTTTGAAGATTGCAATCATTGTGGTTAAATCAACCCTAATTCTTGTAACAGTAGGAATTAACAAATGTACATATACTACATTGATATTTTTAGGGAGTATATGTACCATATTTGAATGTGTTATAACATTTACAAGGTAAACAATGCATTAACTTATGTATTAAAGAATTTACAATGACCAAGTCTCTGGTTTATTTGTCAATATTTTCAGTACACATTCCACGTCATAATTTCTGATGGTGAGATTAGAGTCTGAAATCATTCAATGTTTTATTTTACCTCTGACAAGTTAAACATATCTTTATTTTAATTGGTTGTATTTAATCCTCCTACATGTACGTAAGTCTAGAAAAATATTGAACTTGATGACTAAATTCAAATAATAATAATACAAGTTTACTTTTCGGACATCTTCCTTCAGTCTGGAGTGGCCTTCACTACTATCTGGGTCTACACAAATGCATCCGTACACACATGATACATGAGGAAGTAATGTACTGGAAAACCTCACTTCTGAAAGATAAAGTTACGTATATGACAGTATCAAGAATTTCCTTGTTTGTTGTTGTATCCAATTTGCTTGGTATACTCTTTTAATAGTCATAACTGTAGCACTGATAAGTCTTGTACCTTGTAGAAGTACATGTACATGTACTCCAATAGTACATTAAAAATTACTATTACTCCCTCAGTATGAGAAAAAAAGCTGCAATTTTTAGCAAGTTAAGAAAATGAGTATACAAGAAATGTTCTGTGTACAGCAGGTATCGAATTAATAACTCTCAAATCTGATAAAATCTCCAATCATAAACATACCCTTTTACAAGCACCTTGCACAATAAATGATGACGTCATCAATTACAGCGCAGCAACCTGCAAACAATTGATCAGCACATCTAACACAATAAAAACTGCTCAGCGCCCGCAGAGCAGATTGCGATTAAAAAATCACTTTATTTCGTTCTCTTATTTAGCTTTAATTTATTGTATTTCGTATTATTTTATTTTATGTTCATTTTATTTGTATTTGCGGGTATAATATTATGCAAACCAGAATAGGCTATTCTGTTGGTTTAAATTTGAACCGCTATGGCATACGTCTCCAGAAGTATTGTAGGCCTACATGTAGGCCTACCCATAACAGTATGACACAATTAGTAGGACATATTCCCAAAACACTGTATGTAAACAAGAAAACACAGATCTCAAAAACTTTCATAGATAGGTTAAGCCTTTTTTAAACTTTGAAGTCAACCACTGATAGTCAATAAGTGCCCAAACTACAGACCATGAAGCCAGGGAATACACAGTATTATTGAGTCGAAATCGGTGCTCTGAAACAGTACAATCGATCCAGGAAATAATATATTTAAACAATACGATAAAGAGCAAATCAATAAACAGGCAATCGGTTAAAATTGAATTAACGAAAACTAGGTAAATGGGAAATCAAATATAAATTAAATCGATAATAACAATCCTTTCCACTGATAAACAGTGACTATTTTGCATAGCAGGGATATACAGGTAGGCCCTATATGCACTAGTCTAATTAAATATCTTTCATGTAGTTAGAAGCAAGGAATGCATTCATTATTTTTATAAATGATAATCTATATTATAATTTTAAATTAATACACATTTCCAAATACTGGACTGTTGACTATTAGTTTCTATGAATTGTTTTATCTTTAACCGAGTGCCAAAGCTTGCTGTTAGTAACTTGATAAATAAATTAACCGTACACATGTACTGAGTACAAGGTACGGTAGCTTAAATATAAAGGTAACACGTCAAAATCACATCGTCATTTATTACAAGGATAAATATGAGCTGCCAAAATCCCAGGAATGTTGTAACGAGATACATATAGTCACCCCTACAACTAAATAAAATCTTTCTCGAAACGAAATTACTCCACCACAATACGGAAAACGAAAGTACTTCACCACAATACGAGGCCGCTTGAGCTCAACATTATGTCTAGGCCGTCCAAAAAAGGCAAAATAAACGAAATTCTATATTTCCCTAAAATTGCATTGTTTTCCAAGTTACTATCGAATTTCCAGCAGGTTGACTTTATGAAACAATAGTGGGCTATCTCAAAACTCTTCCATCCTATAAGATAAGGACCATCAATGGACATTAGAAGCTATTCCAACCATGAAATTAATCTTAAAGTGTTTCTAAGAATGCTTTTGGCCACTGGTATTCAAGAATTCAGTTAGAAAGCAAATTTTGTAAACTTCCAAATGGTGTTTTAACGTCACTGACAGTCGAATTTTCTTGACCTGTTCCTTTCGTGCTTTCTGACACGTGTAATAAGATATACTTTCAGTATATAACGGTACATATGTCCAGTTTCTTTTGAAGAAATATCCATATATATATATCGTTTCATATAATGATAATAATAATATTCCATGTCTATTTTTTGGAGCGTGTCGATCTCTTCTTTTTCATAAGTCCCAAGTTTCTCTGTATTTGTAGGTACGGGTTCACGTATTCGAAAGGCATTTGGGGCATCCCCTGGGGATTGGGCAGCCACTGGTTCCTCATCCCGGGGGGAGAATACTTCTTGGTCCGCGCAAACCTTACGTAGTAAGACGGCATCTTTTGAACTCTGGGGTAGCCGCTGCAGTAGAAGACCACGGAGCACTCCTCACCCGCGCCAAAATACGGAATACCGGTAGTGTATCCTAGATAAGCTGCGTCTCGGTACGTCCTACCATATTGTAAGGGAAGGAAGTTTCTGATGGGGTCGATTCGCACAACACCGGAACAGTCGATGGGACGCCCCCAGAAGTAGGGCGAGTAGTGGAGGACGCATGCGGGGTAACACTCGTTTCCGCACGCGTCGTACGCGCGTATATACGAATACGTACTAAATCCGCTGTATTCCGGGTTGCGGACGGCGACGAACGTTGTAGCACTTGCTATGGGTTGGCGTGAGTCCACGATGGCGTAGTCGTGGTACTCTCCGATGTAGTTCAAACCCATAGCTTGAACTGTTATCTTTGCCGCCCCACCGCAACATTCGCAGTGGATGTCACAGTACTTGGCCGTTTTGTTCGCTTGACTCATGTTGTCAGCCGGATACACGTAGTCGTTGGAGTTGTTGGCATACCTGGGCAAAATAAGAAGGTATTTTAGCTATATGTTATCGCATAAATGCCCTTACGGTTGTGAGAGGTATAAACAAAAGAAGTGAGACTTTGAACAAGAAAACGGAAAATAATAGGACACAATACATCACAACACAACGCAATGCATCACAACACAATAGGACACAACACATCACAACACAACGCAATGCATCACTACACAATAGGACACAACACATCACAACACAACGCAATGCATCACAACACAATAGGACACAACACATCACAACACATCACAACGCATCATATTTACAACGAGAAGCAGCGCAAATTAGGCTACAACACCACAATGATGCAGACACAGATAGAATTTAAAAACAAACAAATAAATATGTCATACGCACCTGCTTGGGTCGACCGAGAAGTTTCTGGGCACCGGTTTTGTGTACCAGTCGCCGTAAGTGGGAAACATGATAGGCCTGGAGTAGATAACCTTCACAGGTAGGTACGCCCACTCCCTCTCGTCACACCTGTACTGCCCACTAGCGTCTATCAGGCAATAAGAGTTTGTCTGTTCTTTTTCTCCCACGAATCCACCGCAGTTTTGACGACAGGGGGCAGACCGGTCCCAGCGCTTGGTAGTAACGCAGATGTAATCCGGTCGACGGCAGTATAAGTAGGGGGAGCCACAGTCGGGGTTCTCCGCCGTGCAAGTGGGCCGTGGCGCATACTCGTAGTACGTCTCAGTATACTCGTCACTGCATCCGTCGATATTGCGCATGCCCCAAAAAGGTCTCATTGGCATATAGGGGGCGTGTTGCCATGGTCCGAAGAAGGCCATTGGGTAGTCCAACTCACAGTCCACTTTCCTCTCCTTCTGTTTCTGGCGAAACCCTTCCCACAGAAAGTCGATAAAAGCGTGGAACATGTAGAACAACGGATCATCCGGCGCGGTGTCTAGAAATTCCATATTCCCGCCAACCCAGGAATGAACGTCGTCGTGAGCCACCTCCAAGAAACTGCCAGAACCTGGTGATGAGAGAGATTCAGATGTGATTGCATGAATTGTTATAATATCAGTTTGGGATGATCCCAGTAGTTATGAATCACTACAACTACTACACAGAGAGGGACGCATCCGGTGTAATTGACAGTGTTGCCAAAATTTTGATATACACTGTTGTTTAAAAAGTTTTATTGTGTCAATGGATGCGTTTTCTTCTCAAACAAAACCAACTTCTCAGATGAGGTTGAATTTGGTTTTGTTCCATGGGTTATAAGTCAACGTGCTATTTCAAGATATATGTATCTAGTTTTTTACTGCAATTATGAAGAGTTTACAATCTCAAAAGCCGGCGGTACCCAGCAATCATTTGCCATAAGAGACAAACTTTTCGTTAGGATCATCAGGAGATGTGTCGAATGTATGGCTTTTGCATAGAGTTCTGGTGAGATAAACGGAGAAAACCACTCAGCCAAGCTTCTACTGCCCATAAATACATACAAGAAGGTCTGACCGCAATAAACTTTTGAGTTATATCTTTTTAGGAGAAATTAGGTGAAAAAATGGTAAGCATAAAGTGTGTTATCAGTTACGCTTTTGCTTTAATTATGAAGCTGAACGATGCGTATATGACAGCTACATGTACCCTGAATACTAAATGCAGTTAATCCAACGTTACATTTGTAAAAAACCCAAAAATGTCAAATTAAATTGTCGACTTTTTGTTGACACAGCAGATAGCACATCTCGTTATTGTAATGGAAAAGATAAAGTGGCATTTAAGCACAATATATGTAACATTCATTAGGTTCCGTCTGACAAAATACGTGTCCGTTTCAGGCGTTTACGCGACTGCATATTGTCTGGTAATGAGGGGTGGCAATATTTTACTATTCTTGCAAATAGCGAATCAACCACGCCACCAGATGGCAAAAGAAATTTTCCAGAAACGTCAAATCTGAGCTAATTGCACAGTGTACATGCGATATGTTTTTTTTTAGTTAAAGAAGACTATGTGCAAAAAACGGCCAAAGATATGGGTAACGAAATCGCGTGTGAAACAATTTATTGACGCAAGTTGGACCCATATCGGTTCAAAATAAATCTTAGTCTGAAGTCACAAATTTCCCCCTACCTGGACACGAGATATGTGCAAGGTATCGGTAATCTCCACTAAGGATTTTATCCACAATCTTATCATTCATCAGTCCGTACACGCCCGACCGGATGTTCCGGTACAGCGGAAATCCGGTGTTGCCGATCCAGGATTTGAAGGGACCACGTGTCACTTTGCCGTCCTCCGTGCCTAGGAATGTGTCCGCCCATAGAATGGAGTTTCCGGGGTCGCCCTTCAGTCGGGCATCCAGCGTGGTGTCCCAGTATGGCAAACTGACGCTGGGATCTATGCGACGCAGTGCGATCTCGAATCTGTGAAAAGATCGATTTTAAAGTTTTAAAGTTCAAAGATTTTAGAAAAAAAAAAAGATGATGTCCCAGTTTTATGAATGACAGTCAGATTTGTCATCCGATGAATGATTATGTAGAATATTAAAAAGAAACGTAGTGTATAATATGGTATTCAATAAATACAACCCGTGGAGTAATTAATATATATTAGGCCCCTATAATTTCAGTAGTAATATGAACAGTTTTCCGGTATTTACATCTTTGACGCGTTGTGTTGGTACAGCAACAATAATCATGCAAATAGTGCTTTTGCTATGTAGGTCACGTTTGT